CCCTTCTTTCCCTCGGGGTACTTGGGGGGGCCCTCCCTCTACCGCAGCTGCGTGCTGCTGGGGGCCGCCATCGGGGTGGCCACCAACACGGCCTACGGCCCCCGGCGCCTCAGGGCATCGCGGACCTTCATCGCCGTCATCTGCCTCCTCATGGGCATCTACATGATGGTGAAGCTGCTGCTCTACTCAGAGGTGCGGAGGACCATCAGGGACCCCTGGTTCTGGGGGCTCTTTGCCTGGACCTACGTGGCGCTGGCGGCCACCTTTGGGCTGTGGCAGGGGCTGGCTTGTGTCACCTCCTCCCGCGAGGCACTGGGGCCCGGCTCCGAGTCCCGTGCCGAGGCAGAGGAGAGCTGCGACGGCGGCGCGCCGCGGGACAAGCGGGAGGGGGCGGCCGGGCCCCCCATCCCTAACGCGCCGGATGCCTTCTTCCTGGGCATCGCCTCCTTCTTCCTCCTCGTGGCCGCTCTGGGTGAGCGAAGGGACCGGGGCAGCCGCGGTGTGCTCCCAAACTCTCTGGGAGAGGGGCTTGGCAGCACCCCAGGATTGCTTTTTTGAGGGTGCTGGGTGGCACGTCCTGCACAGGCTGAGGAAGAAATGCAACGGGGTGAAAAAATGTGAAATGGGATAAAACACACTGGGAAACGAAACATCCCCACGTGCCACTAAGGGCTGCACCTCCTGGGATGTCTCGTGGGATGGCTGAGGACCTCCGAGGCGGGGATGGGGCTGTCCCTGGGCTGATGCGGTTGGAAATATGGGTCCTCTGCCGATCCTGCGCGGTGGGGCTGAAACACTGTGTTCTGTGCTTGTCCCTCTTCTCCACGGCGGTGCTGGTCATGTCGCTGCTCGCCATAGGAAGGTAATCGCAGGGGCTGGTTTTGGCCCTGACGAGGAGGAGTTGGGCTTTTCTCGCAGGTGGGGGTGGGCGTGGGCTGTCTCACCTGCAGGCGCTCCCCCGGGTCCCCGCCCGCACCCAAAAAGTGGCGGCGTTCACGAGGCTGTCGCTCCCCCCACCACGTCTGTCTGCTGGCGGTGGGAGAGCAGGAGCAGACGCCGGGAACGGGCTCCCCAGGGAACGCCGTCCCGGCAGCGCTGCCTCCCTCCCGAAGCTTGTCGCTCCCAGGGGGAGGACCAGCCGCCTCCATGCTGGTAGCACCCAGAAGAGGCATGAGCTGGTTTAGCCATCGCTTCCCGGGGTGGAAAGTGGTCCCAGCACAGCATTGCCCAAGCCCTCGGCCCGGGCGTCGGGGTCTTTGTGTTGCTGAGGAGCGGGTTTCGTGTCCATTGGTCTATAACGTTTCTTATCTGCAATTAGCTCATTTGCCGCAGGTATCCGGGGCGGCGTTTTTACGCTCATATTTGCAAGACTGAACATTCGCCTTCACCGCTTCCCGTCGGCGGGCTGTGTTCGGCCGTCGCCAGGAGAGCAGGGCGCCGTCACGCGCAACGGTTCCTTGGGCAGGCAAACGCCATCGCTGCCACTGTCCCCTCTTCCTTCTTCCCCAGCTTTATACGCTGGGCACAACGTCCTGTGGTCCGGAGCGTCGCTGGAGTCAGCTGTCCCGGCTGCGTCCCCTCGCGGCTGCTTGTGCCCCCCAGCCCCCTCGCTGGTGGGGTGGGTGAGGAGCAGGAAGGGCCTTGGCTCTGTGCGAGCGCTGCTCAGCAACACCTAAAATATCCCTGTGAGATCGACGCTGCGCCAGCACGCAGCAGGTTGGGGGCACCCAGAGACGGCACCCAAACGCTCGTGGTCAGAAAGAGCAGCAGAAAGCTCTTCTCCTTTGGGTGCTTCCCACTGTGGGGTCAGGGTGGGATTGCCCAGCACCCTGGGGATGTCCCATTGCCACCAATCAGCCTGACATCCAGCACCCCAAAACACCCCCTTTCCTCCTCCTGTCAGTGCCTGCTGGTCAGCCGCTCTCCAGCTCTGCTCCAGGCGTGGGGAACCTCAGACATCTGAAGCTGGCTGGGTGTGCTTGTGTCTTTCCCTGCTCACCATTCAGTCCTGTCCCGGTCCGTGCCGCTCTGGTGTGGGCCCAGCCCGCTGTAAATTTTCCTACATCTAATTTCTTCTCGGCGATATTTTTAGTTTTGAGGCTGTTGCCGTATTTAGCAATCACTGCATGGTGCCCTGGTAGCTGAGGACACCGGAGTTGTTACTGCAAGGGGGATACGGGTAGCCCCGGACTTACACAAAAGCACGGGAGTTCGGCTGGACTCGAGCACCCGCCAAGTATTTAGAGATTCAGGGTGATGTTTGCTGGCTGTAACATTCAGTTCCACCAAAGGACACCGCAGGAGCTTTGCCCCTTGGTAGCCAGACCCACACCCCCCGGGTCACTTGGGTCAGCTCCAGGCTGCGGGTCGCACAGCTAAACCCCAAGAGCCCTCTCCGAAGCTGCCTCGTGCTCCGCAGGGCGTGCTGTGCCCGGCCCCGGCTGTCCTGCCAGGACACGGCAAAGGGTGCCGTCAGTCCCTGGCGAGCTCCTGGCATCATTTAGAGATGAACTCGGGGCTGGGTTGACAGCTCTGGAGGTGCATCCAGCAGCCCAGCAAACACTCCACGCCCACCGCCCGTCTGCGTGCCCACGGGGTGCCCTCCAGGGTAGGGTGCTGCGACGGTCTTGCAGCTGTGCTTGGTGGCCCGGGGGTGTAGCTTGTGCCTTCAGATGCATTTCATCTCCCTTGTGCATGCAGCAGTTCAAGCTCCTCTGGTTCGCTTCACATCCGCAGCGGTGGAGAGTCACCCCCCCCACTTCCATGTCGCCCTCCAGACCCTCAGCGAGGGGCTGGGTTGAATGGGGAGCTCCATCTGGCCCCTGGCACGGGGCATGGGACACGGCTAGGCAGTGACCTGCCATGGTGATGTGTCCCTGCTCTCCCCTTCCCCAACCCCTCGTTGCTGCAGGGGATGTCATCTCCCGCTTGACATCGGACACGACCATCGTGAGCGACCTGGTCTCCCAGAACATCAACATCTTCCTGCGCAATGTGGTGAAGGCCACGGGGGTGATCTTCTTCATGTTCAGCCTTTCTTGGAAGCTCTCACTCGTCACCTTCATGGGCTTCCCCATCATCATGCTGGTGTCTGATGTCTATGGGAAGTACTACAAGGTAGGCAGGAGCGGCTGGCGTGGCCGTGGTGTGCTGCACTACTGGGCTGTTCCCCTCTTGAAGGCATCGTGGAGATTGTGGGTGGCCTTGGAGCTGGTGGGACTGATGCTTGGGTGCTTTGCTGCCGGCAGTGGGGGCAGGAAGGCAGCCTTAAACCTGTATGGGCAGACGAGTGCAGCCTCGGCTGTTACCTTGCTTCATGCTCAGGAATCGAAGCATCTCAGGTCTGACAGGAGAGGTAGCTTGGTCACGGGATGTCCCATATGTGCCTGCCTGAACTCCTGCAACCTGTCCTCTCCTCTCCCTTTGGGGTGACTCGGGTGGGGATTAAAGCCAGTGCCGAGCTCCCGAGCTCCACCTGGGGCTAGCGTGGGCCAAAGGCAGGCCCCCGTGGCTGACGCTGCATCCCGTGGGCTATGCGAGCCCTGCACCGCTGCTCCCTGCGTTGCTGATGGGTGCTTTGCGCTGTGCCGGGGACACGGCGCGCACGGGCGCTGCCAAAGCGGGGTCCTGGGGTGCTGCCTCCCCATCCTGTGGGTTGGGCACTTGTGGGAGGAACAGAGCTGCCCTTGGTCTCCTGACCTGCCCCTGACTCGGAAACTCCTGGAAGGGCTCCTGGGCTGGGGTGACCCTGTCCCATCAGAGGGCACTGGGAGCAGCGGCTCTGCCGCAGGCTTCCCAAGTGGCCCTGGGTACGGCACTTCGCCTCCCGCAGCCCAAGTCCCTCCTTGGGACTATGAGCACAACGAATCCCTCCTGCTCCTGGTGCAGCGTCCCAGGCCGTCCAGAGGTGTGGGATCTATCCCAGTGCTCAGCCTTGTTGCCCACGGCCTTGGAAAATGTCACCGTGCCCTCTCTTCCCGAGGCCAGCAGAGCTGGGGCGTGCAGGGTGATGTGCCACAGGCAGCCTGGCGCCCGCTGAGCCCCCTTTGCCCCCCTCTGCTCCCCGCAGAAGCTCTCCAAGGATGTGCAGAACGCCCTGGCCAAGGCCAACAACACCGCCGAGGAGACCATCTCCGCCATGAAGACCGTCCGCAGTTTTGCCAACGAGGAGACGGAGGCGAACGTGTACTGGCAGAAGCTGCAGCAGGTTTACAAACTCAACAAGCGGGAGGCCATGGCTTACACCTACTACGTCTGGTCCAGCGGGGTAGGTGGCCGGTGCCGGGTCTTCCCCGTGCGGGGCTGGGGACGGGCAGGGAACGTTGCTTCGGATCCCATAACACGCGTGGCGTGATGTGTGTGCGTCTCCTTCGCTTCCAGGGAGCTTTGCGGGGCGAGCCCAGCCTTGATGTCCGCTGCCTGTAATCCCCTGTCTCTTCATGATTTTCTTTTTTAATTCACTCATGAAAAAATATGATCCATTCCCCCTTAGGGCAGCACTGCATCGTGCCACCAAACGGTCTGTTTTTCTCTCGCAAATAAGAATATAATTGATAACAGCTCAAGGTCGTGGAAAACCCCGTGTTTCTGCGTTGCTGCATTGCGTTGCCTGTGCCAGCTCCTCGCCGGGGCTCCGGCTGGGAAGCAGCCGCGGCGTTGGTTGAGCTTCTGCTCAGAAACGGAGATTTGCTGCGTGTGGGTGGTGGCAGGGGGAGGCTGCTGGGGTTTGGCTGGTTTGGATATTTTTTTTTTTTTTTAAAGATGCTTTTTCATCATTTAAGTCCAGATGGTTTGGGACTTCTGCATCAGCTGATGACTAAGGCTGTGCAAAACCCTCAGAGGAGGCTGCCCTTATCCCTGCACGAAGCAGTCTCTGCTGAAGGGTTTGCAAGTTCTGGTGCCCTCGTGCAGCCGTGGGAGCCTTTGTGGCTTCCCAAGTCGGGGATCAAACTTTGAGCATTTTTAGCATCGTTCCTGGGCTCTGCGGTGAAGCCGGAGCGTGAACTGGGTCAGCACGGATCGCGCCGAGTCAAAGAAGGCAAAAACCTCAAAAACTGCTCCTGTGGGGCTCGCGTAGAAAAAAGCTGATGGATTTAGCACAGCCCCGGGAGAGTCTTTCTCAGAAGGAACACGGGATCTTAAGGTCAGATTGTAGCAGAGCAACAAAGGAGGAATTTTTTTCCCCGGTATTTTTGTCTGTGTGCATTCACAGCCTGTCCCGCAAACGTCGCGCAGAGCACCAGGGCAGCGCCGCTTTTCTGAGCACCCAGGCAGCACGGAACAAAACCAGCTGAATAAAGGCAGGGGCTGGTGTTTGTCATATCAGAGCTGATCTGTCTCCTTTCTAGCTGTCGTGGTTTGCACGAGAGTAGGTGGTGCCCCCTCCACACTGACTTCAGGCAAGAGCTGATGTTATGCTTCAGGGACTTGTACGTGCAAGGAAGATTTTTTGCATTAACTCTTGGCTTGATTTTGTGCTCTAAATTAAAATGTGTCACATTCGTATAACAGAAAGTTTATTTTAGTGGTGAGATGACTGCGTGTGTTGCATAATTTGCACGTAGCTTATTACGCTTGAGGACATTAGTCCAGGAGAGGAGTTCATGAGATGCTCTGTTATTTCAGATAAACTCTCCCTCCTTGGCTGTTGCCCCTCTGGACTTCTGTTTTGTTGAGAGATGCCAGCCCAGCTCCTTAAATCAGCCCGTGTACTGGAGTTGCTTTTCCCTTCTCGTATCCGTGCTCACTGCGAGGGCTGTCAGCTGTGCGCTGGCGGGGATGCTCAGTTCAGGGCTCGAAGAAGAAATGTCAGTGCACAGATTGTGGGCTGTTGTGTGAGTAATTATGAATGCACCAGAATATAGAATCATAGAATGGTTTGGGTTGGAAGGGACCTTAAAGACCATCTGGTTCCAATCCCCCTGCCATGAGCAGGGACACCTTCCACC